ACCTGTTGGCAGCTCAGCGGCTGCTCAGCTCGGGCTGGACTCGACCTGCTGTTGCTCAGCGCTCAAACTCTTGAGCGAGCTCTTAACCAACTGAGCCACTCGGCTGGCCCCTCTCTCTCTCTTTTTATATTTATCCTTTTTCCCTTCAGAGCCACTTGTATTAGTTTGCTAGGACTGCTGTAGCAAAATACCACAGACTGGCTGGCTTAAACAGTAGAAATTTAGTTTCTTAAAGTTTTAGAGGCTGGAAGTGCAAGATCAAGGTGCTGGCAGGCTTGCTTGCTTCTGAGTCCCCTCTCCTTGGCTTGCAGATGGCCTCTTGCTGCCTCTTCACACGATTGTCTTGTGTGTGTGCACCCCTGGCGTCTCTCCCTGTGTCCCAATCTCTTCTGAGGACACCAGTCAGATTGGAGTAGGGCCCACCATAATGATCTCATTTTAATGTAATGAACTCTGTAGAGGCCCTATCTTCAAAACAGTAACATCCGGGGGTGCTGGGATTAGGACGTCAACATATGAATTTTGTGTGGAAGGAGACACAGTTCAGCCCATAAACCATTTAAAAAATAAGTTCCTGATGTCCTAACATTTCATGCCTGAACAATTCAGTATACACATCCTAAAAATAAGGACAGTCTCCTACATAGCCTCAAAACCATCATCACTCGTATAGTATATTTATTTATTTTCATTAATTAAGTGGTTGAGTCTGACCCAGGATCCAGTTAGCTGTTCTGTGTTCCATTTGATTGTTAGCATCACAAAGTTGAATTTAAAGGAAAGATTTAAATATAGGAGATAAAAGCTTCATGAGTAGCCAGGAACTCAGTTTACATCTTAAAGGAATTCGAAAAATAACAAATCAAAAGAAAGTTGGGAAAATGGAAAACAAAGGTAAACATTAAAGACATAGAAAACAAAAAAGTTATGTAAATCCATAAACTTGGTCTTTGAAAAGACCAGAACATGGATGAACCCTTGGACCTGGTTAAGGAAATCAGTGCAGAACAATTATAATTGAGATTAGGAAGGAAGGATGAGACATAACCTTAGATGTGTGTGAATTTAAAAGCATGATGAGAATCCACATGCAGCACTGTGTAAACAAACTTGAAACAAGCAAATGGATGGCTTTCTGTCAAAATACAAATTTTGACAAACTGACTCTCCTCAAAAGAGGACAACTTGAAGAGATTAACAAAGAAGAAATTAGAAAGTTAAGATGTACTGTTGAAAAAGCACCATGAAGGGGCCGGCCGAGTGGCTCAGTTGGTTAAGAGCTCGCTCAAGAGTGCAAGCTCTGAGCAACAGCAGTTCGATTCCCAGCCCAAGCTGATCTGCCATCCAGTGGCAGGGTGGCTCAGAAAAAAAAAAGAAAAGAAAAGAAAAAGCACCATGACAAGGTAGATTCACAACTGAATTATGACTTACATGAGTCAATACATGTAATGTGCTAATAAGTCAGTAAATACCATCTGTTACTTTTTTCAAACAGATTACATCTGTGTTTAAATTAGTCCAGACCCTAGGAAAAGATGAAAAGGCCTTCAATTTACTTTGATTTCTGCATAGTTTTAATACCCCAAATATCATAAATAGTGCCCAAAAAAAGGAATGGGGGATTGTAGGCCATCTCACCTGTGAATATAGATGTAAAAATTGGGATTAGTGCTCTTACAAAGGAGGTCCCACAGATCTCAGAGCCGCTTCTGCCGTGTGAGGATATAAGAAGTCTGCAGTCCTGACCATGCCGGCACCCTGATTCCAGACTTTCAGCTTCCTGAGTGAAGAAATAGGTTCCTGTTGTTTATAAGCTACCCAGTCTGTCTTATTTTATTATAGCAGCTCCAGTGGACTAAGACATTATGTCTTTTGCAAATAGGGACAGTTTTATTTTTTCCTTTTTTTTTAAAAAGAAAACCAAAAATTAGCGTCACTTGAGCTAAATCCCATGATGCCAAACCTAGATTTAATACCTGACCTAATTGCAGTTTCGCTTCTCTCTCTCTCTCTCTCTTAGTTTCAGGTGTACAAAACAATGTAATAGTTAGACATTTATACCCCTCACAAAGTGATAACCCCTATCCCCCAATGTACTTCCCCTCTGACATCATATATAGCTGTTACAATTCCATTGACTCTATTCCCTATGCTGGGAATAGATAATTATAGTTGGCAGTCAACATTATTCAGCTTCACCTTCAGGTATACACTGCAATGGTCAAGCCTCTACACCATCCATGAAGTGGTCTCCCTAATAAGACATGTGCCTATCTGATACCCTACAAGATCTTTACAACATTATTGATTATATTCCCCAAACTGTCCTTCATATCCCCTTGGCAATCTCGTGGTTACCAATTTATGCATCTAATTCCTTCACCTTCTCCCTCATCCCCACCCCCCTCCCAACTAGCAACCATCAGTTTTTCCTCTGGATCTCTGAGACTATTTCTGTTTAGCTTGCTCATTTATTCTGTTCTTTAGATTCCACATATAAGTGAGACCGTATGGTATTTTTCTTTCTCTGACTGACTTATTTCACTTAGCATGATGTTTTCTAGGTCCATCCATATTGTTGCAAATGGTAAGATTTCATTCTTCTTTATGGCCGAGTAATACTCCATTGTATAAATGTACCACAGTTTCTTAATCCAGTCATCTAACAATGGACATTTTGGTTGTTTCTGTGTCTTGGCTATTGTAAATAGTGTTGCAATTTTGATCTTCACCAGAAATGTAATGTTTATCAACCAGCCTGGAATTTTCTGGCCAAGCATCTGTAAAGTATTCTGTCACAGCAGACCTGTCTATCCCCCCCTGCCCCCTTTGATAAAACCCTTGCCGTTTCCTTCCCCTCCAAAAGGTGGTGTCCTGGCCTAAAAATAATCCTTTCTTTTCTTTTGCTAATAGCTTCTTTGCTCTCTGTTTCTATAAAACTTCCTTTTTGTACAACCCTATCCGAACCTCGTTCTGCTTGTGAGATGGGATTCTGCCCGATTCATGAATCACTTAATAAAGCCTATAACATCTTAAAATTTATTTGGTTGAATTTTGTTTTTTGACACTTTCTAATTTACATGACTTTAACTTCTTTTTTAAAATTGCCTTATTGACCTGTTAGGACTTCCAGTGCATTGTTGAAAAGGAATGGTGACAGTAGATATTCTTGGTTGTTCCGATCTTAGAAAGCATTCAACCTTTCACAATTAAATATGCTGTGTTACTTGTATGCTTTTGTTTTTTAATACTTACTTTATTTTCTTTCTAACTTTAATTGGATAACTAGTTCACTTATTTTAATTATTTGTGGTTAGTAATATATTTAACACTAAAATTTTCTCTGAGTACCACTTTAGCGGTATCCCATAAAACTGGTTAGTGTTTTATTGGTAGTTTTTAGAAAATTTATAATTCCTCTTTAACCTAAAAGCTGTTGAGTTCTAGATTTAGTGCGTAGTTAGGTTACCTGGGCTCTTTTTATTCATTTTACTCGTAGTTTACTATTCCAAAATCAGGATGATTCCTTAACTTTTTCATTGCAGGCTTAATTGATGTTTTATGAGCAAACATTATCAATTTCAGTGAATATTCCATAGGCGTTATGATCTCTGTTTTCAGAGTATAGTCTGTATCAATTAATTCATTTAGATCCTCAGAATCCTTTAGCTCTATCATGAGATGGATGAGAGGGATGAAATCAAGTTCCTACTATTCATGCCCTAATCCCATTCAGGAGGACCTCATGACCTGCTAACACCATCACCTTTGAGGGTTAGGATTGCAATATATGAA